ATTTCTGTAGCCGTAATTGTTACATCATGTCTTGAGCCTCTCCAGCGTCTTTACTGGGATCTCACCATGGGGAGGGCCAGCCTTTGGATTCACTAGCTTGTCCTTGTTGGTGACACCCCCCTGGTACTTCCTGTGGCAGTTTGGCAGTAACCTGTTCCCATTTTATATGGTCTCAGAGTATTCTGTATCATCCAACCCACATGCATTGTCTTGAACTCATCTGAGAATTTGACAAAAGCTAAGGAGTCTATCCCCAGGAAAAGGTACACACACACAAGTTGTACATACAGTTTAGGGGGTCATGACCTCCTGAAATCCATTCCTGGACCCTCAGGGTAGGAAACCAGGAGGTGGATGATAATCTCCACACGTACTCACCCACCCCTTCTCCCTTTCTTTCCTTCAACATGAAACAGATCAAGAGATATCTATTTGATATTAACTTTTTTAAGCAGAGGAGGGGACTATATGAGATTCTGAAATGTTCACTTTTTTTTTTAACTGGTCCTTGTGGAATACTTAAGAATTTGAATGGATTGTAATAAAATAACATCACTAATCATGGAGAGAAATATGTTCTTTTTCTTAAAAACTTCAAGGCACAAAGTCTTCTGCTATCATCAGTAAGCCAGTGCCAGGTGCATTTTCTCAGTCATTGCAGGCAGAATAACTCCTTCTGAATTCCCCCCAAACACTTAAATACCCTTTTTGATTGTATATCTGATACTTTAATTTGAAAACTAGGTCAGATTCTAGAGGTGAGTTTCTCCTTGCAATTAAATGAAATAATTTCAGAAGCATAGGAACTTTGAGGAAGAGCATTCCAGATGTAATAGGGCCTTGCTTCAAATAGTATTAAGTCCCATCACCAAATGTGCAGCCTACTTTCAGAGAATAGCTTGTTTATCCATTTTGGGTTTTCTTCATCAGTCACCCACTTACCTTTCTGTTTACATTCAATTTTCACTTCCTAGGTTTTCTCTCTCATCCACTGCCTTTTCAGAATTTGTGCATGGGATGGAAAACAGTCTCTGGGCCCAATTTAATAAGGCCTATAAAACATTCTTTTCCAAATTTAAATTCCTGGGTCATTTCACTCAAGCACCAGTTGACCCTTATTTTTTTTCATCCACCAGTGTTTCAGATTAGAGTTGGTTTCAGCTGAAGGTGTCAGCAAACCCAAACTAACAGCATCTTACATATGACAGAAGGTTACTCTCACCTACAATGAAGTGTGGGGATAAGCAGTTAAGGACTGGCATGGGGCTTCCTCAGTCATCAAGGACACAGGTCCTTGTGTCATGTTTTTTAAAAAATTTTTTACTTAGTTTACTTATTATTGCGCTATTATTATTTTGTGGGGGCAGCGGGAGGTAATTAGGTTTATTTATTTTTAGTGGAGGTATTGGGGATTGAATCCAGGACCTCATGCGCACGAAGCATGTGCTCTACCACTTGAGCTATATGCTCCCTCCCCTTCTGTCATGTTAATTCAGCATCCTCAAAACGTGTTGGGTTCTGCCTCATAGTACAATAGAGCTACTCAAGCTACTGGAGTCATGCCCACATTCCACAGTCAGCAAAAGGGAGCAGAACACCGACTTCCTTTGAGGATATGTTCCAGATGCTGCATACAATACTTCTAGTTCATTGGCCAAGCCTTAGTCCAATGGCTATATGTAGTTGCAAGACAGGATGAAAATGAATTAAAAAAAAATTCAAAGTGACTTTGTTTCAGCTAAAATTGGTGTTTAATTACTAAAGCAGAGGGATGACACGAATTTGGGGAGTGAATAGCAATCTGTTTCAGTAGGTGAGTCTTTGTAACAAGTCTGAGGGGCTATGACAAGGTGAGCAGCAGTTACTGTAGAGTCACGCTGTCATCACCCAATGACACACTATTTGTCATTCATCAAGTCTGATCTTGCTGTCATGCACATCTGTCTTGACTCGCAAGCAAAGCTTATTCTACAGTATTTCATGATTGACCTTTAAAAATTTTATATTAGTTCTATGCTCATGTAGTCTGCATAAAGGTAACTTTTTTGGCCCAGGTTTTTCTTCGTGAGGCATTCAAGAAACATCAACTTGAGATGAAAAATTAATTGGAGAAGCAATTTTCATCTTTTCTGAATTATCTTGACAAAGACCAAAGGGACTCCATTCATAACATACTGTGGAACTTCTTAAAATCATCTTTACACAATTGTCTTAAAATCTCACACTCACAACACAGGGTGTACTCCCCTTGTCTAACTCCCCCAAACTCTTCCCGCCATCCTCAGCATTGCTGACTTTTTGTATTTCTACTCCACCCTCACCTCCTGATCTCCTCCACTAATTATTAGCTGCCATTCCTTTGAGAAGCAATCAAACCTGTCTGAGTACGATGTCTGCACATGCTTTATTACCCCAGTTCTCCAGAAAAAGGCCTGGATTACATCAAATTGTTCAAAGGTCAAATAGAGTCTGTTAATTCTCATTTATTAATTTATTCAAACTTGGACTCTCGTAATAAAACGTAATCCCTTATATGGAAGCACAAAATTCAACACACTTTGGAAACAAATTTTTCTTTTAATATTTGACCACAAAACCTGACCTGAACTTTGTGAGGACATTTATAGTATTTATACATCCTACTTAGTGTAAATATTTTTACATTTCATGGAGAAATATTAGTAAGACAATATTATAAGCAATATAGTACCTTTCTAAAGTCCTAATAATTCTGAATCTGAAATAAGCCATTGAGATGAAGGCTTATTTACAATTATTTCCTGTATTAATGCTGTATTTTATGCCCATGTTTAGATAAGAATAAATAAAATTTTCTTTCACTTCTTTATCATTTATTGTATAAACATTATACACATTGGATACTGGGGAACATCTTATTCCTGAAGAAATAGAATATGTGGTATGTTAAGAAAAATTACTCAAAACTTGGAACTAGCTAAAAAGAGATCACTGGAGAAATTTCTTAATGGATTAATGAATATTGTCTAACAGATACTCTCCAGGGATTACTGATTCCATAAGGGTGTTTAATTTTGATTGACTTTCTATTAACTAGACTTTTTTACATCTCTATAAGGGTAGAGGTTAATTTGTAGAAAATAGATAGGAATGCAAACGATGCTTTTATGAGAACATTGCAAATGATTCCTGATCATAGCAAAGCAAATGAATTTTGTTCAGTAGAGATTGCATTAATTTCCATCAGTTGGAAAAGCTGATTCCAAATATTAGTTTGTTGCCCTGTAAATAACCAGTTTCGCATCTATTAGAAAAGTCATTTTAGAATGACTTTGACTGACTGACTGTATAAATCTGTTCCTCAATTCTTCTTTAAATTCATTGTAGCGTCTTAATGGTTCCCTCCTTAATTAATGAGTTGAGTAAACTTTGACATGTATGTATTTTATATTTATATGAAAGTCACTTTGTTAACTTTCAGAAAATTATCTTTTAAAAGATGCTTGCACTTATAGTGGGCTCCCCTATTAGTTGACCAAAAATATGGAAAAACCATGAAGGCGGTATGTAATAAGTGATAAATCATCAGTATGGATGTGAGGGGCTGTGGTAGAGTTTCTGGGTAACTGTGTTCTTTTCATTCCCCCTGCATTGCTTCTGTTCATTTAGCAGATGCTGCTGCTCTGCATTATGGAATGCAGAGGAAGGGGATGCAAAACACAGAAGAGGCACAATTCCTGTTCTAGACTTGTTAACAATTGTTAAAGAGAGAACCATAAGCGAGGAGTAGGATATAGCTCAGTGGCAGAGTGCACACTTAGCATGCATGAGGTCCTGGGTTCAATCCCCCAGTGCTTCTATCAAATAAATAAATGAATAGATAGATAAACAAACCTAATTACTCCCCCCCCAAAAAAGCAAAACAAAAAAAAAATTTTAAAAAGAGAACCACAAGTCCCAAATGATGTCATTTGTGCCAAAGTCCCTGATACCAATTGAAGTTTAATACTTGACCTAATTACAATTTCGACCTTCAACCAGGAATACACATATATATAATCTTAATCGGCTAGTCTGGAATTTTCTGGTCAGCACTAATGTGGTAATCTGTATGATTAAACTCTCCTCCTTCCCCCCAAAGAAGGTAACCACCCTGAAACAATTCTTCCTTTTTCCTTTTGCTAATAACTTCCTTGCCCCACTCTCCTATGAAAATTCTCCATTTTGTACAGCTACTCAGAGTGCCCTTCCAATTACCAGCTGGATGCTGCCTAAGTCATGAATTTGAATTTTGCTTTTAAACACAGTCTAGTGTGGGAGACAGATGTGAACAAACTGTTACAAAATAATGATGATGGATGGGGTTGAGAATAACATTTGAGATCTTGCTGTGTCCTATGCTTTATATTTATTATGATGCTTCATGTTTATTATTTTATTAAAAACTAACATTTTGTAGGAATTTTACCCCAATTTCATAACTGGAGCACAGACAACCAGCTAATTGCTGTAATCATCATGAACAAGAAGCTATGAGAACCCAAGAGCAATTTTACATGCTACAGTTCCCGAGACCAAAGCATTCCCCTTATCTCTCTCTCTTAGTTCATTTGGTTGACTCGACTCAGGTCAAATCCTGCCCGGAAGACCCACAGAACGGAAAGCCTGGTGCAGACCTGGCAAATGAAGACATTGTGTTGCTGCAGGACTTGGGAGTCCTTCTCAGGTTAGGAATCATCCAGGACCAGCTCCTTTCTGAGAAGCTATCTACTCTGGAAGGGCGGAGAAGCTAAGTTGACCTCCTTGAGGTTTCAGTCTTCAGTGCTGCTTAAAGCCTTAAGGCATCTGGCATTTGAGAAAGGGGGAGGAGGTAGCACCCAGAGTTGGTTTCACTTGGGAAAGAACCAGGGATACACCCCTTCTCCAGTTGCCCCACCACCTCCACCCACAATGCTGGAGAGGGTTGCAGAAGGTGGACTGTAAACATGGGAAAATGTTGACAGAAGTGAAGGTCATGGCAAGACCATTCAGCCCACGTCTGTTGATTAAGGACCAGCCTGCAGTTCAGAGACACTGGTCAACTGGATTTGCATAAACAGAGCCTGGGCAGTTTCTGAAACTGAGATTTAAAACTGGCAACACTTTTACCACCCCTTTGTGTTTTTGCAAAATCCAGGCCTTATACCAACTTCTTGTTGCAGAATTATTTCTTTTTTCCTTTCAGGGAAGGGAAGTCAAACTCCTTCTCTAGGAACCGACTGGTTGATCTGATACAAAGTGGTGTTAGAAGACCTATTTTGATCCAAACCAGGTGCCTGGGCTGGATTATTTCTAACCTGGGTCAAACAACTGATCACATAATGCTTTTTTGGTTTATGTGCTGTCTCATGGCTGTGTGGACGATTTCTGCCTCAGATGGTACGTATGCTTTTCTTAAGCTCAGTTTGTAAGACACTTGATGTCAGCTTGTGGTTTATGAGGCATTCTGCCTATGGTTTTACTGAAATTTAAATTTAAGAAATATATTTACTTTCTTTAAAAATCTCAAATTACTTGACTTAACATTCTGTACTCAACAGGGGCTTGTAAATATTTAATGATGATTTTGCTCTATGGTTTTTACCTGTTTACCTTCCCTTTCTGTTCTGGGTGCAAAACAAGTACCTATTTCAAAATCTTGAGCCATCTTATCTATGATAAAATCCAGGAATACTATTTGGAAAGGGGATTTTTTTTTAGGAGTGGATAACTTATGGCTGAATTTGAATAAAATTCCTTTTATCTTTTTGAAAACAAAACTTTGGGTCTCCTTGAGATGGGAGAGATATGGATGTACCCAGACATGGAACAGCACAAGGAGTCAGAATTAGTAATCCAGCAACAGGACACTTGGATGGGGGAAATCCAATAATTGCTTCCTCACAGCACATATGTCAAGTAAATCTGTTTTCTTTTTCCTTCCAGCAGAGAGCTGTTCAGAAATTCCTGCAGTGGACAATAGCATATCTGTTTCAAAGGAGGATGGAGAACAAATTCTGCGGACTTACTTGTGTATCAGGGGCTATCACCTGGTAGGAGAGAAAACCATTTTTTGTAGTGCTTCTAAAGGGTGGAATGCCACTTCTCCCCAGTGCCAGTGTAAGTTTGATCTTTCTGCTTCTTCGTCCATCTTGTCACCCTCCTGTATTCACTCACATCATACCTCCAAGTGGGCCATGTTAAGACTTAATAAGAAAAAAGTTTCAACTTCTAGGAATCCTTTTTAAAGTACTATAGTGGTGGAACTTTTCTCAGAAGGTACATAATCAGCTCTGGGTCAGTATTTATTTAGTTGAATTAATAGACTCAATCACCCCTGCAAGAAGGAAAGAATTTCTTCTACATATTAAAACCACTTTTTTGGGGGGGGGCTATAATTTGTTTAAAATTATACTGATTTAAAATTTTTATGTTATGGAAAATTTTAAACATATACAAAAGACAGAAGGGTAAAATGAATGCATATATACTCATCGCCCAGCTTCAATAATGACTAACATATGACTCTTCTCACGTACAATTCTCCTTTACATTATTATTATCTTGAAGTAAATATATCACATCATTTTATTTCATCCATTGTGTAACTTTTGAACTGGGAAAAAATTTATGTTCTCAATTTACAAAGGTGGTAACTGAGGTCTAAATGATTTGTTCAAATTCACAACATTTATTTGTGGTGTCTGTAGAAACAGAGACTAATTTGTTCACCATCTCTCTATTAATAACTATTTTTTGGAATAGCTGGATTAGTTCTCCTTTATTTCCTAGAGTGTAAAGTTCTTATGCCTGGAGTAAACACCTATATGTGTATCCTTTCTTTATATGACCAAATTTACATCCCTCTATGTTCTGTTTTCCACCTGGGGAAAACAAAAGAAAACAAAGCAAAAAATGATGAGTAATGTACATATTTGACTGGATGAAAGGGAAGGAAACACTTGTCTCAAATGTAGGTTCAAGAATTTTGAGCAGTGCTTAACATAACAGAATGATGAACAAGCTATTGGTAATTTCCAGTTACAAGTGCTTAATTTTAGTAAATTCAAATGCCAGTTGTCAGTCTTGTGACAGACTTTTTCCACCACACTCAGGGCAACCCAGTTTTTTCTCATCCTTCTTTTCTAGGATTTGGTACCGTGTACCAGTATATAGTAAAAGATGCCGTTTTAGTTCTAATTTTTAGTTTTCTCAGTGAAACTGGAAGAGGTCTAGCCTTTGTTGCGGTGAGCTTCAGCTTAGCTCTTTCAAATCTCTGCCTGCTTTCTTCTTCAGGGGGCCACTGTCCTGACCCTTTCCTGGAGAATGGCAAGTTCAGTGTCTTGCAGCCGGCGGATGTGAATGACACAGTCACGTTTAAGTGCAATGAGAATTACATCCTCAAGGGCAGCAGTTGGAGCCGGTGCCTGGAGAACCATACCTGGGTGCCTCCCTTTCCTATCTGCAAAAGCAGTAAGTATAAGAGAAAAAGGTGCAAACCCCAAAGGTGCTGATCCTCAGGGAAAGCCTAGGTATTTGCCACATTCCTGCAGTGCCTTCCTCTTTTCTTATATCTGGGAAGGGTTTGGGATCTTGCAAGCAGCCGAGAAAGAGCCAAGCCTCAACTCAAGTGATGTATTCCAATGACATGAACAGCATCCAAACAATAAACAAATCCTTTACTGTCTCCTCAAGTAGGATTCCTGACTGCTAGGTCCACCCTGGGGTAGTTTGGAACATTCTACAATTTTTTTTTAAAAAAATTTCAATATTAAATGACAAAGTTTTTTTTTGGAGGGGGAAAGTTACACAAAAACGAAAAAAGACCATAACTCATCGTTGCAAAATTATATAAACTAAGAGGTGAAATTATCTCCTTTCATCACTATAATTCATACCTCTCAGAGGTAGTTACCTGGATGTGTTTATTTAATGACGTTTTCTTATGTTTACACAGATATTTTAAATAAATGCACACACATAGATACCAACACACATATATCCTACAAAAATGGGACTTGGCTATATTTTTTAAAATAGCTTTTTTTTTCCCATATAACAACATACATGGGGATCTTTTCCTGATTAGTATGTATGGCTCTTCCCCCTGCTCTTTATTTATTTACTTATTTATATTTATTTATTTATTTTACTTTTAATTTATTTTTTAAATTGAAGTACAGTCAGTTACAGTGAGTCCATTTCTGGTGTTCAGCATGATGTCCCAGTCATGCGTATGTATATACAGATATTCATTTTCATGTTCTGTTTCGTTAAAGATTATTACAAGGTATTGGATACAGTTCCCTGCGATACACAGAAGAAACTTGCTCAGTTCTAGGGGACGCTTCTTAAGTCCCTGAATAAAACAGATTCTTTTCTGTTTAAATCCAAGACCCATTATCATCTCCTTTAGTTCAGAACTGTGCTCCTGAAAGTGACCAGGAGAACCCTGTCTCAGCTGAAATTTCTTAACTCCCTGAAAGTCTTTTTCCTTTCTTCCCCATGACTTTCGAACTCAGGGTTTGATCTTCCAAAAACTGTTTATGAACGGCTCAAGTAACACATCTTTGTTGTAGAAAAATACAGACAATAAAAGAAGAGAACATTTTATTACCTACAAACCTACTACCCAGGGATAATACTACTTTGACTTGTAATTTTCCGACTTTTTTTTCTGTGCATTTATGTCACTGTATGACTGTGTTTTACAAAAGTATTATTATGCTATACATGCTCTTTTATGTTTTGCTGTTTTTAGTGATCTATTTGCTTTGAACACCTTAACGTTTCAATGTCTATATACCGACATAATTATTCTTAATTTGGCTTTTAATCTTCATCGGTACGTTTAGACACATACAATCTCAGGGCTGAGAGGGACAGTAGAGATAATACGATTTAGCCTGCTCATTTTATAGATTAAGAAGGAAGCAGGGAAGGATGAAATGGCTTCCTTAGTGCCGTGTGGTTAGTGGAAGGGCTGAAACCCAAACTCACGCATCTAATACTTTGTCCAAGTCTCTTTCCACAATTTTACAGACTCATTGTCTTCCCCCCAAGTGCTGTTCTTCTTCTTTCTTTGTTTCTTTTTTTTCCCCCCCGAAGCTCTCCTATCGTACAACGTTCCCGCAGGGGTATTCAACCTCCATTAGAGTCCACACTATTCATCTGCTGTCTCAGGGAGTTACTTCTTCCACCTCCACCTATAGTCTAATTTTTCTTTTCTTGTGCGCTGACAGTTAGCATCTCTACAACTGAAAGTTTCTTTCCTCAAGCTCCTGCCAATCGGAAAGTACTCTCACATCGCCAGTGACTCAGAGAAAGAGCCAGGGGAGACCGCCTTTCCCATGGACAAATATGATTTTGATCAAAAGGAAGTGGATGGAGAACGTGTCCCAGGTTCTGGCAGTGCTGGAATAAATAGTTGCACTTAGCGGGCTGGGTTGTTAATTGCGCATTACTGGACTTCACAACTGTCATTTCTGTACTCCCGTCTCTCAGGAAACTGTAGCTCTCCTGAGACTATAACTCATGGCTATTTTGAAGGAATGGATTTCACCTCAGGATCTACTATTACTTATCACTGTGAAGAAGGGTAAGGAAGCCTTTCAAATCCAAGACCTCGCCCATTGACTGATAGCATTGTTTTGAGAATGACCCGAGTTCGTCTCTACCTAGTCCCGCGATTACCTAGCGCATTCTGATTTTGAGGCCTGCTTTAGTCCACTGCCAGCTCTCCTCAGTCCCTAGAAGGCAGACTGATCCTCTTACTTATCCTAATTGAAGTATTACTTTTTTTCTCTTAGCTAAGACAAGATAAAATATTTAACATGTATGTTTTTCTCAGGAAAAAAAGGAAACCCACCCAGAATATCGGAAGTGCAGAAATAGAATTATTTAGAGTAAAGATCTTTAAGACATCCTAATTAAAGTGTAACCTTAATTTAGACTGCCTGGTGACCCCCTTACGGAACTCCTAGCCTCTTCTTTCCTTTGCCTAATCTTACGAACTCGGAGTCCTGTGGCCTCACTGGCATTTCAATCTCATTATTTACCTCCAATGGGTTTTGCTCTCTACTCTGTTCTTTTTTTTGATTAAAAGCTGAGGCTCTTTTTTTTAGCCAGTTCACCCAGATTTATTTGAAGGCTGTCTCTAGCTTTCTACTCCTTTTTAGAGCATGGATGACAGATGCTTTTTTAGTTACTGATTGGTGAAGAGACTCCTCTCTCCCCCACCTCTCCCTTAAACTGTGTGTGTGAAAACACGCATTTAGAACTGTTTTCTCCTCTGAGTCTTATGCGCTGACTCATCACTCGGGTCCTCCCCACTCCCAGAAGAGTGGTTTTATTTTGTGACTGCTTTGTAATATTGAGATAACTTAAGCATGCATTAAGGCTCTGGGGTGGGGAAGTAGATGCTATTACAGCAGGAAATACTGAAATACAGTTACGCAAAGCCAGGTTTAGTTGCCCAATTCAGAAGTGGAAAGGGTAAATGCTGCCATTCTAATTTCTGTTCAGGTACCGCCTGGTGGGCACACAGAGCCAACAGTGCATTGACGGGGACTGGAGCAGCGCACTGCCGGTCTGTGAGGTGATCCAAGAAGCCACCGAGCCAACTGCACAGGAGCAGTTTGAGAAGGTGTTTGTAAGTAGTGGGCGCTTGTCTGTCTGCCTCACAGCTGTACCTCCACGGCCTGGTGTCGCTCCTACATGCTCAGGAAATAGCTGTTCAATTTGGGATGTTTTTGAATGGTTTGGTCTTGACCTGACTGTAGAATGGGGCTCATAAATTATGCACTCATGTTTTTTATATATGAAAGTTCCCATTCTCCACCACCACCATTTAAAGAACAAGGTACACAAACTCATGTCTTAGACTTGGAAGGGCTGCTGCAAAAATTCTCAAAATGTTTGAGACAAAAAAAAAAAAAAGAAACAAAACTACTGAACAGGTCCATTTTCACTGACACTCACCTTTTGGTCTATATTTATTACTGGGATAATAAGTAAATTTAAGTCACTAAATTTTATTTTCAGAAAATAAAAAAGGACCCCAGGGACAGTGTCCTCTTCAAAGACACACCAAATTTCAAGGCTTAATATATATATAATGTATCTCTGTGCCCAGGGGGAGGAGAGGGACACTTGGCAGCATCCTGGAGGGCGCCCCAGGCAGCCCCAAGCCATCGTGCAGATTTAAATGATTCGTCACGCTGAAGACTCCGATCCCTACTAAGACAGCCTGGTTCTGGGCCCCCACCTGGGGACCTAAACACTACTCATTAGCTTTAGAGTGTAGAGCTTGGTCTCAGTTCTTAAATTATAACTTAAGAAAATGTTCTTTCTTCAGCTTGCCTTTCAGGAGACGGAGGATCTTCGCAAAACTATAGAGAACATTATGCAAAGGTTTAAGGAACATAACTTAACAATGGAGGAAATAAAATATTCTCTGGAAATAATGAAAGCGAAGGCAAAAATGTTGCCCTAACATCATAGCCAAGCAGACTGGGTAATAGAAGGACACCTGTAAATAAAATTTCCTCTTGGTTCTGAAGTTTTAGATTTTTCTCTCTTTGGGCTGAAATGCAACTTCATGGTAACCAACTGCAATTGTACGATGCATGGGATGTGTGTGTGCGTGGGTGTGGGTGTGTTGCACTCAGAATGTGGAATGACTGGGTGTAGGGGTTGTCTAAGACCAGCATTAGCAACACATTAATGGGAAGAGGAAGGTTTAATTTCCTGTCTGTAAGGGGGATGGGAAGCTCAGATCACAGCGAAAGTATGTGCCTCACATTTTGATATGAGACATGAATGATGCAAAAATTAACCCCAAATTATCCAAAACTTATGAGGCAAAAATTAACCTCTCATTTTGGAAAAATAGTCTCAGAACAGTTACATCCTTAAAATGACCAATTGAGACAAAAGTAGAGTCAGAACTCGAACTGTCTCCTGGGTATCCCCCACAATCCTGTTTTTAAAGCCGGGTTTCCAAATCTTCTGCAAGTAACACTGCTTTACCGCCTTTCGGATGAAACTCAGCGCTGCGTAGTCAATTTGAGACCCTGCAACACACGTGAATATATTTTCTTATTCTTTTTTAGAGGGGGAAAGAGATAACCATCGTAAGATTTCCCTGTCAAAATTTTATGCTGAGCTGATATGACAAGCTTCTCCCATCTTGCATGCTGACCTTTACTCAGAACACATAGGAACTCTGGGTAAAAATGCAAACAAAATACACAAGAGAGCTTGAGATGGTGGAATATCTCCAGGTGGAGTTACAAGGGGGAGCAAGAAATGGCCTCTCAAGTAGCCCATGAATAGACCCAAGACACATACACAGATATCATTAATTCAGCAATGAAGCAAATAGCTTTCAGGAAAAGTGTGCTATGAGAGCCCATGTGGGAGGAGGCTGACTTCCGTCTTGGGAGGAGGAGGCAGGGCAATGGTCAAGGAAGATGACACAGTTACTGGGGCCTTTGAAAGTTAGTAGGATGTAGAGACAAAGATGAAGGAGAAGGACATTCTAAGTGGAAAGAAGATTTGAGAAATGTAGTAGAAAGTCATGAGCTTTTTTTTAAATTGAAGTATAATTGACTTACAATATTATGTTAGTTCCAGGTGTGCAACATAGTGATTCAATTTTTTAACAAATTATACACCATTTAAAGTTGTAACAAAACAATGACTGTATTTCCCCGTGCTGTACAATATATCCTTGTTGCTTATTTATTTTATACATAATAGTTGTGCTTCTTAATCCCCGACCCCTATCTTGCCTCTCGCTCCTCCCCTCACCCCACTGATAAACCACTAGTTTGTTCTCTAGACCCGTGGGTCTAGTTTGTGATATACATTCATTTGTTTTATTTTTTTTTTTTTTAGATTCCACATATAAGTGATAACAGAGTATTTGTCTTCCTCTGTCTGACTTACTTCACTAAGCATAACACCTCTAGGCCCATCCACATTGTTGCAAATGATAGCCACAGGCTATTTAACCAGCTGAATCCAGTCCTGGGATTAATCTAACTTGACCAAAATGATTTTTAATTTTAAGCTGTTCATTATATTATTGCCTATATTTCTATACTAACAAGACCTTGTGAGCATTTGAAATGTTCAAGCTTATGAAAATTTTAATTAATTGTGATACATCAAACATAATGCAGACTTTTACAGTGATAATTACGAACAGAAAGTTTTAAAAATAGAATTTAAGTACAAATAGAATACAGAACAAGTAATTATGATTAAGTTTGTGTAAAACCTTTCCTCTTAGGGAAAAGAACCAGGCAATAGTAGGCACAGATGGAAGCAGCTGTCTTAGAATGGTGAAATTACAGATGTTTATTTTCTTCAACTTCCTTAACGTTTCAAATTAAATTTTTAATATTATTTTTTTTAAAAGTTGCTGCAAAGAGGCAGGAAGGATCGAGAGCACGTCGAGGGAATAGCACATAGCCTGGATTACCTGGATAACGCATGGGAAGTGATGAGAGAGAAGGCTGGAAAGATGTGTTAGAGCCAGTTTATGGAGGATTTAAAAAGGCACATTAGAGACTTTGAATTTTATTTGGTAGGCAGTGAGTAGAGACGGAAGACTTTCACTCAAGGAAGTGATGAGGACAGAACATAGATCTCTCTCACGGAGGTGTGTAGTGATAGATGCAGTAGGAAAAGAAATGAGTCAGAGAAACCAACAGAAGGGCAACAGCCATAGCCTCCCTGAGAGGCCATGATGACATTAGAGACAGAAAAGAAACAGCAGACATGAGAGATGTTGCAAAATCAAAAGAACGTGTCAACTGATTGAATGTTGGAGGATGAGGGGGAGGAAGGGTTTAAAGGTGAGTCTGAAATTCCATTTCTGGGAGTCTGGATAAATTTTGGAATCAGAAGGTAAAGCTTCTGGGAAGAAATGACAAGTTCTCCTTTGCTAAGTATAAAGGTGTATAAGATGTCCAATGGGGGAAAAAAAAGAAAAGAAAAGAAAAGAAAAGAAAAGAAAAAGATGTCCAATGGGCAATAAAAAAAGTCAAGTCTGAGTTTAGGAGAGTAATAAGAGACAAAGATGTAGTTATGGGGTAGTCTTCTTATAAGAAATAGTTAAAGCCATGAGATCAGATAACATAAAGATGTGAAGAGAAACATCTTTAAAAGGAAGAACCTAGGATGTGTCTGTATTTAGGGGTGAAAAAGGGGAAGCTGTGGTAACAACCACTAAGAAAGCAATTACAGAACAGAGAAATCAGGAAAGTTTAGGGTAACGGAAGTCAAAGGGGAAGAGAGTTTCAGGAAGGACATGATTAGCAGCACTAGAGGCTGCTGAGAAACCACAAGACATGAGTTAAAGAACTTTTAGGAGACAGCATGCTTCAACGAGGTGTGTCAGTAAGGGTGGGAAGGAGCCAAACCGAGGACCACATTGAGAGCGCTGGGGAGTGGCCATAGAGGACGGGCAGGCAGGAGACAGAGGAGATTCTTTTGAGACGTTCAGCATCTTACGACAGAACGAAAGTTGAGTTTGAGGTTTCGGCAAGATTGAGGGAACATTTCAGGATGAAAGTCACGTTGAAAATAAAGGAAAAAAACGAACAAAACTCTTCTGAAACAGGAGTGGATAGGGAAGAAAATTTGAGGCGAATAGAAGCTAATGCAGAATGATTTCTTAGTAAAGTAAGAGGCAAGATTATCTGCTGAGAGTAAGACAATTTGGTGACCTGGAGAGAAAACTTTGGAATATTCACTGTGGAAAGTAAAGAAAAGGATTCCAACACATTAGGACATGGTATTTTGAAGACACAACTTTAAATATTGTATTTGTTCCAAGTTGGTCCTCAAGACTGCGTCATTTGGGATTCTCTTTTATGGTCATTCTTGTCAAATCAGCAAATCAGTCTCACCTTTGTGACTTGCTCTATGTTCTCTTTACCTGTAACATCTTTCTTATTTTCATCTAATAATTTCCACTCATCATTCAAAGCCCCAGTCAAATCTCGTATATTCTGTTCAAACTTCTTCTGTGGTTCAACTCCTTCTCTCCTGAAAATTTTATCAGACTTCTGGTGTTTATTACAGAAAAAAATGTGACGTTATCAGGAAGAATTGCTCTTTAATAGCAATTCCCTGAACATACAAACCTGAATCCTGAGGACTAAGAGCTTAACTGGATAACGTCAGGGTTTGTGGTCCTTCTTGTGATAACCAGTCTGTGCCTTCATTGCATCCTTCTGAGCAGCACTCAATGGTAGACCAGCTTCTGGAGGTCATTTGGTGTCTAGTATGTGGTAGTGGCAGTGGTCGTAGTTAACATTTACTGAGTACTGATCATGTTCCAAGCATCTCAGCACATAGCTGGAACACAGTAAATATGTTAAACTCCTCACCTTCTGAGCTTTCTTGGGGTGGGATGGAGACCAGGAAGGGGCCAGGTCACCAGTCCCCGAGCCCCAGGAAATCCTGCTGGACCTAGCATCAGTTTTGTGGACCTAGTTTGAACCCTGAAGTACCCAAGGTTTCTGGGTTAGCTGGATTGCCTCTTGTATAATCCTCTTTTGTTCATAAAAAGGGAAGAAAAAAAAGAATTCTGGCATCAAATTTATATTATCTTTCCACTTAGGGGAAATGGTTGGCAGAGGAGAAAAAAGATTGCGACATATTATCAAGAAAGAGGGCTAGTGACCACGAAGGAGATTAGATAAACAATTCTGCTTTATTTATGCTGTTAATCATTCACTGGGCCAGCAGAGAGTCTCTGCCCATCCATTCCTCTTTGGCTATCCCTGAACAGCCAACCACATGGCTAGAACTCAAGGACTTTTTGGTGAAGCAATCACTTGCCACCTTCAGGGTATTCTGGTAAACTCTTATCTGAGGAACTAAGACAGATCAAAGCAGTTTTCTTCCTTAAGAAACTACTCAAGGCACCGTGATAGAGTCGTCGTCTTCTTCCTCAGCTACCTGCAGGTCAGTGGATTATTTGGGGTACCTTGGGGGAAAGGCTGGTGGTTTGGCCTTTTAAGGGGTGCAAGATTAGAAGGATAAGTCAGAGACAAAAACTTGGGAGTGTTTTCAGCAGAAATCTATGCCGGAGTACTGCACTGGGGGGGGGGGCAGTATACCTTGAAAAGTACTTTTAAACCCTACTGAGCCTCAGTTTTCTATATATAATGGGGAAATAATAATGCATACTAATAAAATAAACTGAAGCAGAAAAGAAGAAGTTACTCTTCTTATTGCATTTAAAAGTCAGGTGTGTTGGTTTGTTGATTTTTTTTCACCATCTTTCCACACAGGCGAGTTGAGGCAGGAGGTAAGCCAGACATCCCAAAGGGAGTGACAAGGGACCTGGTTTTCACTGTCTCCATTCTGAAAATTGGTGCAGTTCTCTTTGGAGATGCTATTAACCCATCCACATCCCCTCCACATCTCCTCCACCATCAACAGCAAAGACCTTTAGATCTGATAGTAAGGAGAACATGGATGAGTCTGCAGTTAGTCTCTGAAGCTAGAAGAAGCCTTACTCATCTTCATCTCTTTTCCCTCCCTCCCTCTTTGAATATGGCAATATTGATTAGCCTTATTTCTTGAAATCCCCTTCTCCCTTGGTTGGGCAGAACGTAGTACTGCTACTCTGGTTTGCATTTCAGTTTTTCAACCACTCTTCTGTTTGATGACTCCTGTTCTTTCCCTAAACGTAGTAGTAAAGATAAATACAAAGTAGAGTGCCTAGAAGAGGAAGAGGCACCAAAAAAGGTTTGTATTAAGTTATATTATGTTGAATATAGTATGGGCACAGAAGGAAGCAGCTGATACAGAGACAAAGAGATTTTAGAAAGGAAGGGAACAACTTGGAAGCAAGTTCTTTCTGGAGTCTGAAAGTGATGTGATTGAGAGTGCAGGTGTAAGCCAGGAGACACTCCACCTGAGGCTGGAGGGAAATATTATCCTTTCCAGAGGTATCTGAAGTTTTAAAAAGGGAGTTTAGACAACATAAATATGCTAACTTAAAAAGTAATCTCTAATAGGAGAAATTGGGAGGCTGAGGGTTTTCCCAGAGCCTCTCAAACTGCCTTGGCACGTGCTGATGCTGTTTTCCACAAGAGACTCTCCATGTTGACTATAGTTGACTTGAGTTGGTTTCAGTTCTACAGGAATTGATGTTATTGAAATATGAAGGCATTCGCTAGGGAAGTCTTAGCTTTTCAGTGGGCAGTTACAGAATTCTAGACTTTGTAGGAACTAGAAAGAGTTTAATGTCATCATTTTTGGGATGAGAAACTGAGGTCCAAGGAGCTGCTTCAAGATCACAGAAATAGACTAGTATTGTTGGGGCTCAGATCCAGGGCTCCTCGGCTCACAAGTCCTAGCCTCCACCTCCATATTCTGTGGTCAGCTGAGTCCCAGGCAGGTTCTGCTGAGGGACCGCAGTGAGTCATGAGAATGAACTGTAAATGCTACACATGGCCCACTGAGTCACCACACGTCCCAAGAACCAGTAAGGGAAGTCAAATCACTGAATCATCTCTTCAAAATTTATGAAACACTTCAGATTATTTCATTTGGTCCACAGTAGGTATGTAGTCATTCTCATCCTGAAGATAAAACTAAGTTCAGTTTCATTTACTTCCCATTTACTGGATAACTATTATATACCAGTTAATATTAGGTTAGAAACTGGAAAGTTGAATAAACAACTTTGTCTCTGTCTTTAAGGGACTGGCAATCTATTTCAGGAGGCAGAGGTGAATAGTTACAATACAATGTGGTGTTACAATGAAAATGTCAGCGAAGTACTCGGGGAGCATGGAAGGGACTGACATTTCTTGGTGGGGTTGGGCAATTCTTCACCAAGGAGGTGGCGTTTGATCTGGATTTGATCAGGGAGAAGTTAGAGGTAAGAGCTTTCTTGCACAAAAGTCATCATCTACAAATGCTTGCAGGTGTTTAGAAAGTTCCAGGATGTGTTTTGGGAAAGGTAAGCACTTGCACGAGGTTGAAGCACAGTGTTTTAAGTGAGCAGAAGTAGAGGGAGTGTTGGGACTTAGAGAACTGGGGACCAGGGGAGTTTTTAAGGAAATCGCTTTTTGGGAATGTAACAGCATCCATGTAGAAACTGGCTTACAGCTGTTCGGCGGCTTTTGCAGTGGTGTAGGGTGGGAGTGAAGGCAACCATGAGAACCTAAGCCTGGGCTATGGAAGTGGGCGTAGGAGAGGATGACAGAGTCTAGTGTTGCTGTGGACGATGTGACAAGGCTTGGTGACTCTGCCTATGGAAGGTGCGAGAAAGAGGAGGCTAGGATGAGTCAGGTTTCTAGTCTAGGAGACTGGGTAGAGATTATTCCCTTGGCTGAGGCAGAAAGCAAAGGTCAAGCAGCCTTGGAAGCAAGACAGTGCATCTAGTTTGGGATATGTTGGATTCAAGGTACCTGGGAGATGCAGATGAAGCAGTGGGAAATACTGATCTGAACCCTGGGATTTATTATAAAAAATTAAAAAAAATTTGTGTGTTTAATTCAGAAATCTAAGAAGTGGTTGCCAGGGGCTGGGAACACGGGAGAAATAAGGAGAGTTTGATAAAAAGGGTATAAGCTTTCAGCTATAAGATGAAGAAAATTTGAGGATTTAATGTAAAACATGGTGACTATAATTGATAACACTGTATTGGATAATTGTAATTTGCTAAGAGAGTAGAACTTCAAAGTTATTTCCAGAAAAAAAGGTACACTTATATGTGGAATCTTAAAAATAAAACAAAAAAGTCAAACTCATAGAAAAAGAGATTAGATTTGTGATTACAGAGGAGGGGGAGGGGGGAGGAATTGGAGAAAGGTGGTCAAAAAGGTACAAACTTCCAGTTATGAGGTAAATAAGTGCTGGGGGTTTAATGTACAACACAATGACTGCTGCTGACACTGCTGCATGATATACAGGAAAGTTGTTGAGAGTTAATCCTGAGAGTCCTCATTACAAAGAAAATTTTTTTTCCTTTTTTTTCTTTTCATTGCATCTATATGAGAAGATGGTTGCTAACTGGACCCATTATGGTAATCATTTCACAATATGTATAAATCAAGCTACCCTGCTGTAAGCCTTACACTTATACAACGATGTATATCAATTATTTTTCAATGAAGCTGGGGAAAAAAGATAAATATGTGAGGTGATAGATGTGTTAATTATTTAGATGGGGGATGGAAGTCCTTTCTTAGAGTGTACATTTGTCAAATCACCATGATGTACACTTTAAGTATCTTACCATATACACACTTGTACCTCAATAAAGCTAAAATTAAAAAAGACAAATCCAAGAGTCAAAAGTTTCAGTTTAAGTCCAGGATTGCAAGGGAAAAGTATAATAGTTTCTTTTTGGATTTGCAAAGAAAATTCACAAGTACTTATAACTTTCAAAACCAGAAATGTTACTTTAGATAGTATCCAAAACAAAAAATAATTCCCTGAGATAACCAGTCAGAATTATAGACTTTTCCAGGGTTAAAGGCTCTGTTCACGTGGCAAAGAAACAATCTCCTTTGTTAGACAGAACGTTTGCAAGTCAATGTCGTGATGCAGGGATCTGCCTGCTTTTCTGTAGCTGTCGGGGAAGAGAAAGCATTTCCTCCTTATTTTGCTGGGATTGCTTTCACGGACTTTCAGAAAGGTCCGCAGTCCTAAGGCTCAGCACTGGGATTTTACGAGTTCGCAAGAAGAGTAAAGAAGGCAAGCCTAAACGGCTCAGAATTGACATATGGGAAGTAATAGGGCAGATTTCTTATTAACAGTTGACTTTATAGAGCATGTAAGTTTTTGCACCTACAGGAGGCATTTCGGCCCAGAGGTCTGTGGGTGATGGTCAGTCTTGGGGTAGATGAGTTTCCCCCAGGAAGACAGTGAAGGTAAGGGAGGAAGAAGCCCAGGACTGGCCCCCCGTGGCTTGTCACAGAGAGTGTCACTGCTCTGTGTGTGGCACTGGGTCTCACTATTACCATGGGCCACAGTGAAGACCAGACCAACGGCTTCTGGCCCAAGTCCAGTGTGCTTTCCTCTGCACCTGGGCTTAAAGTCCCCTGGTATTGCAGCCATCCGTCGTTACAGTCATTATAATTTTATAGCATTATTGTGGTCATGCTTTTGCTCTAGGAGTTCTGGTTCTGTCAGAATCGCATTCCAACACCAATTCTGCCACTCTCTTTGCTGACATTTCTTATGAATATTTACTATGTGCTGACCGTGCACCAGACCAAAACCCTTCTCAGCTATCCTGGGAGACATGAATAGTTATTTTTATTTTGTAAAAAAGGAAATTGAAGCTTAGAGGCGCTTAGAGGACTGAGCATCTTGCCCATGGACACACAGTTCCCATGTGGTGGAACCAGGAATGAAACACACATGGGTTGAGTCTGACCCCAGGGCCTGGCCGCATACTGTCCTGCTGTGTCCCCGACACTGTGTCTGCAGCCCTGGTGCAAGCCTGTGTGATGTAAATCTCTCATCATAGTGTAGGGTCTGTATGTGCAACTGCCTATTAGCTCCCGTGATAATCTGTGATTTTCGTTTATTCCTTCTCTCTTTGTTGTGCTATGTTGTATGGTTGAGGTTATGATGACTGTAGATTCTAGAGGAACAGCCCAGAGTAAAAGCTCACGGGTCTGGTCTCGTTAAGATAGCAGGTGTGCCTTGCTTTTAAAATCAGCCCAGATCTGGCCTTGACAAAACAAACACTGTAAGAGTAGATATGGATATGGAACAGTCGTATTTTTTCTTTAAAACGTAGTAGAGCATTAGGTGCTTTTGAATGTGAATTCAACAAATATTTAACTGAGCACTTTGTGTGAGGCACAGTGCTGGGTACCACATAGGGCAGGGATGAACACAAACCCGCCTTCTGACTTCAAGGACCTTGTGGCCCAGTGGCGAAGACAGACTTCAGATGTCAGTAAAACCAAGTGAGAATCAGCGTTATAAACACTCAGGTGTAACTGGAACTTGGAGACTGGCCTGGAGGATAAGAGGGAGCATTGGAGAAGGGGCTGCTAGAATGAGCAGGAATTAAAGGGGAAAGGGTGAGAGGGAAGATGATGTGGGCAGGTACAGGGGGTCAGAAAGTGTTTGGAACCGTCAGGGATCCAGGTTATCTGGACTGGCTGGATTATTAAGGCTCAGACCAAAATACTAAAAAGTTAGTCATCCGAAGCCAGTTTAGTAAATGCCAGCTCCTGAAGGATCAGTTCACTGAAGTCAATTTGCTGAATTTATCAAATTATCAATTTACTTAACATCGTTCTAAGAAATATTCAATTTGAATATATTCAATGGTTATAAAAGTTCTTTTTGAACATAACTAAGAAACATGTTCTTTGTAGCAGCATTTTAAGTATTTTTGCTCAATTTCCTGAAGCTAAGGATTTAATCTAAGGCTATGCTTTTATAAATATGCTCATGAATATTTTTCTGATCCTGTTCAATGTATGTATTTTTCTTGTGAATATCATGACAACTGCAACAATTCACAGGGGAAATTTTCACTTTGCACTATTACCCTCTTGTTGGGAGGGAGGGAATTAGGTTTATTTATTGATTTATTATTATAATTTTTTTTACTTTAACTGGAGGTACTGGGGACTGAACCCATGACCTCATGCATGCTAAGCATGCACTCTGCCACAGAGCTGTACCTTCCCCGTGTACTATTACCCTCTTGGTTTTTTTATAGTCGAATTCTATTTTGCCAACATGCTGGTATTTTTTTAAATCTCTTTCTTTAATTTCACTGAAATTCAATAAACAAAACATATCTACTGATATCAAAAGTGAAAGAAACTGACTTCTATGGTTTTTATAGTCTATAACAAGTTTTATTGGATGGGAGAAATTTATCATATTTTGTACATTTCACAGATGACTTAGTGGGCTGTTTTCATTGTATGGAACTTGCCCTACCGCCAGCTGTCTCCAGTCTCTTCCAGTTGCTAGGGCAGAAGGAGTAGAGACTAGGGATCAGGAGGGAGGTGCGGGGCAGAAAGAGGAAGCAAGAAAGAAAGGGGCTCAGAACGATGGTCCTGGCTCCTCTCACCCTCTTTAGGCCACCTCAATTCATTCAGTACAAATTCCGCAAACATATTGTTTTAGTGACCAAGACATTTGATAAATTGTTCAACAAGTTGAATTGATTTTCTGGCAGAATTGTCCTAGTGGCCGTGTAGAGAGCTCACAAGATAGGACTGTGTGGGGTGGAGTTGTCCACAACTGACAGCAGGGGGAGGACTGAACATTAGAACTGAGTTTGGAAGGAGAAGATTAGATAGTCATTACTCAGTGAAGACGTTAGGACCCTCCACGTAGTGTGAAGGGCCGTTATGAACTTTCTTCCCCCTAAATGTGGGACAGAAACATCTTAGAGGGAAATATTGAGGGGGCTGCCTTTATCTAAATGGCTATGCAATTAGTAAGAATTACAGACAGACACATGGGGAGTGTGGCATCCTCTGGCTCTAACAGAAATATCAGAATAAAAGATGAAATTCAATATTTCATTGGGAGTTAATTTCATATGTTCTTTTGAGGACGAAGACTGTTTCTAATGTAAATTTAAGATATATTGGTTTTTTTGTGTTGTTTTTCTTTTTTTGCAACGGGAACAGGAGTGTGGTGAAGAGATAAATGTCCTTCATGATTTTGCTTTAAACAAGTCTTCAGATAGTCTGATTAAATAATGAAAGGACATTTGTCACATAAATCCTTCTTTTTCTTTACATATCTCTATATACCTACATATATCTATATCTCTATATAAAACCATGTTTTTTTTTCCCTCAGAACTTTAAATTGCTTGATGGTTTATTTCCTCTGTGGATAGTTGTCATGAAGAACCCCCAGTGTTATACATAGTGATTCAACTCCCTTTCTCTGTCTCATCATTTCCTTGCTTTTTTGTTTTGTTTTGTTTTGTTTTACATTTGTTGCCTGTTACCTAACTCGTCTGCCGTTTCCTTGGTCAGATCACTTCTGTGGCTCACCTTGCCCATCAACAGTCTTCTTAATCAATCTCCCTGTTTCTTCTCTCTGTTCACTTCAATCTGTCAGGTATACATCTGCTATGGTGACCTTAAAGCACAATAATGTGTCACTCTAAGGACATGTTAAAAACAAACCAACCAAAACTAGAATCCAAAACAAAACACAATGGCTCTTTATTCCCCAACCAGTAATGTCCATAAATTCCTCAACTTGGCCCTTACGTCCCATTCAGACACATCTGTGAGCTGCCCTGCTACTTAACAACCATCTCCTCATCTCCATTACCTTGCCTTCCGACCGTATGAGTATCATCTACCGCCCCCTCAGCTGGCCCTGTGTCCACTTCTCGACTTTCACAGCATACCTACCTCAGGTTCTGCCACCTCCCATCTCTCCATGGAATTAGTTTCTCTCGCGAGCAGAGC